CAATAATTTCCGTGCATGTTTTCAAGCCATTGATGGCAATAAAAAGTGTACACTTGGTACATATATTGCGCATGACTTCTTTAGTGGTAGCACCACAATCTTTATCAACTATTGTGCACTGGATGCAAAATAGGCAGCGTTTTCCAAACCATCTATTTCAACAGAAACACTTTAGCAGACCTAGGGCTGACTATGACGGCAGTCTGTCGTGTTGTAACCTAAATCACAATAGGTTGCTTTTTCATCGATGCAATATAGCCTAATTGTCATAAGAGAATGCCACCAATCCAATAATATGTATTCCAAGCGTGTCAAAATATGTATTTCATTTTACAATTGGATGGATGATGACGTGGCAGATATCTGCTATTCCTGATGATGTGTCACTTCAGTTCTTTTTTTATGTGAAGGTCAGTGGATGTACGCTTTATTTTGCAAGGGAAAAAAACTAGATGCTTTGAATCAGAGGCAGCGATAACTTCCGGTAACCGAACAGGTGGTTTTCAAATTCGCATTTGCATTACGTGTTCTTTTTAAAGGAAAAAAATGTCTGGCAGCGTATTCTCTTTGTCTTTTTCTCATTCATAGTCACCGAGAATTATGTTAAACTGATACGCTGCCCAACGTCTACTCGGGACGAGGTGTCACCAATCACGCACAGTCGTACCAGACGCAGTGGCAGAACGCATCATGTAATGCTCTGCGTGAGCTGTTGACACTACTACTCATGAGGCAAAACAGGTTGAATAACATGGATATAACGTTTTTGTGAGCTTATGGCCGTGTGAAGAGAGTGTCGCACAATAAGAATGCTCGATCAATAATACACGGTCACTCAACAATGCGCTTGACTTGTTTAGTTCTTGTGTCTTTGTTGCTTGTCACACCGCACTTAGCATTGCCACCCGATGGTTCTAGGCGAAATAAGTAACTTCGGTCTCGCACGACGCCTTCGATTTTCAGTGGCTTTTGCAGCACCATATTTTGAAGCGAGAGTTATTTCAGCGAGCCCAGGGGTTTTGTTGTTTGAATGAACTATCCGCGTATAACGCAGAACATTGCGCAAACGTACAGGTGTAATTTTTTTACCTTATATTCCCAATGAAGTTGTCGTGGCGCTTTTTCTTTCTATTTCAGGACTTTAAGTTAACTTCTCTCGCAAATGTTTTGGCCTGTTCAGATACGTTGTTTATTAAGTAGGGGCGACTCAAGAAGGCGACCGATAACGTGCCCTCGCACTTCCTATTCCCAACATTCAGGCTAGGCAACGAGCTTTAGCTTTAGTTGTCATCATTTACTATGGCACCATTCCTGCTTGTGCATTATACTTCTCGCGTGATTTCGCGTGAACTTCATGGCTTTTCATCACACATAACTGTTCAGTTTTTTTTTTTGAAAAACTTCACTGTGGGCATGGTGCATATATCGAATACTGACAATACGGGTCAGTTTACATGTTAACAATGCTTCAAAAATGTGGGCTCTCATTACCATTCCCACAGCTGTTCAGCAAATAAACTTGGTTTAAGTATACTCCTTTGGCAATATGTTTATAACAATTTTTTTTCAAAAAAACAGGTTATGAAAGCAATGCCAAGTGTTTTATACAATTGTTCATTTTGTATCAACCGAAAACTGGAATGGCGTTGAAAGATAATCCCGCGTTCGTTTCTCCAAATGCATTCTGTTTTACCCTCGCACATCTATTGGTACTGGTCCTCCGTGTTTCAGACGGTCTTTGAATTTCACAAGAATATAACAACAACGCTTCTTGGCAGTGGGGTGTTGCTTAATTTTGCTGTAAAAAATACAGCAAAACCGTACACATTGACCTTCTTTTATAGCAAAAAATCTTTGGCTTTTCTTTTTTGTTTAGTAGTTGAAGCAGCTTTCATGACCACCTGGGCTCACACAAAACTGCGATTTCATTTGAAAAGCTCTCTTTTTACGCTTCGAATTCTGATGATCTAGTGTTACAACTGCATTATTCAATTTATTGTACGAAAAGTGTATGATGGGAACAGAGGACATTCAATTTAGCCAACCCAACTGCTGTATTAGGGAAGAAAGAGAGATGAAGTGTAGTTAAATGAAGGACGGATAATAAAGTATATGATAATGAATAGGCATAGCCAGAAGGCACAAAGAAATAATGGCGCTGTTCATCATTCTTTACTACTACGCTCAACTGACTGCTGTACAGTGTTGCACTATGTCTCCCTCCCTTTTACTCACGTTTCATGTTGGCCGCTACAGTTGGAGGCGTCCTTCAATAAGGTGGCCTATAACTGGGGCGGAATTCGTAGCCGCAAAAGAGCATTTGCTATTTATGTCAGTGTTAATGAAATACACCAGATGGGCATGCAGATATTGATCGCCATTCTTAGTGCAATGGTAGTCATTTTTTTTGTAGCAGATCATCACCACTCGATAGAAAAGCTACCTCAGCTACAGTTAATGACCAGCATTTATAGACTTCAACAAAAAACAGCAGCATGTTATGCTGGTCTGTGACAATTTTGAACAACACCTGTGAAAGCTTCATCTCGAAATTTCACCGTGATTTACGTAAAGGCCTCGCTTAACGGTTGCATTGGAACTGCGGCGTTTCATTCTGCAGCCCTCAGCCTGGCTTTAAGTTGTAATTGATAAGACACCACCTTCGACAAGTGCACAAGTGCATAAACATTACTGTTACTACAGAGTTGATACACTTGAAAAAAAGCTAACAAATTATCGAATGCGCCCTACGCACTACACGCAGAAAACGGCTGCAGGCAGAGCATGGATACTGGCAGCGTTGGTAGTAGAAAGTGTCGCGCCTATCGCTTATCGACCAAGGGCTCCGAATGCTCATTCATATGTACATATCATAACGTTTATATGGTCATTACAGACTTTATGAAGAAAACTGAAATTCGTCTGGCAATGAACCTAAAGGTTTTTTCTACTTCAACGCTGATCTTTATTGCTGGGTGCTCATTGCGTTAGTACGAGATAGAGAAAACTGTTTCAATGTTCCTTGTCCCAATACGAAACAGACGCGGCCGGTTCTTTCCGACACAGCCAGTTGAAAGCAGCATAATTCGCACTATTTAATACAGTAATCATTTAAAGTTGCGATCATTTCACTCCAAAAAGTGACCAATTACAATCATAGTATCCAAAATGGAAGCAGTTGCACTTATTTTGCAGTAATCACTTAATTCTCAGGTTGCCTTTTTTGCTTTTTTTCTGCAATAGAATCAAACAGTATTTTGCGCATGACAAGAAGTGACGAGGAAACATAGTGCGGTATTTCTAAATTGTGTGATTGCAAGGACATTATATGTTCATGTACACGTGATATAAAGCTGTGTGCCTTATCACTGCACACTGGACACAAGGTTATTCATTTTTTTCTCAGATATAGACAGACAAACTATGCCGACATATAATTTGCTTAAGTGTCTAATTCTTATTGCTTCGATTATTTTTCGCATGGGTTTTTCAAAGCAGCTTTCTTCGATAAAACATGAGCTGGATTTAGTTTTACATGTGTAGTCCCTGCAATTTCTTGCAAGATTATTATAACTTTATTTCTACTTCATGAGCTTTTGAATGAGCGCATTCGATAAGTGTGTTATTTCGAGCGTTTATAACGACACTGACCTGTTTAAACAGAGTAATATTGCCCGCAGGGCAGTGGAGCAAGGCATTTGCGCTGATTATACCTTACCTTCTGTTTATTGTTGAGATCTGGGAATTTTTTGCGGCAACAAACTATCATTCTACGCAGCTGTGAGAGTCGCAAAACGACGTATTGTTTGGAGAAATTTTATATCAGTAGAGCTGTCCAAGTAAAAAAAAACCTATGAAATATGGGACAGTTCTGAGGCCGTCCCATCATTGCTCTTCCCAAACGAAAGCATGACGGAACATCATGTCAACCACCATTACCTTGTATATCGTGTGCATATTACCTATATTCTTACAGGTGGACTTTTTTTCTCCTTAGCGTATCAGCAGCTGGGTAGTGACATTTACTGGTTGATTTACTTATTTTACGGGTGAGAGAGTGCTTAAAAACTTCGAATGAGAGGACACGAAGCTGCTTCTTATAATTTTAGGCAGCGTTAGCATCAAGTAGTAGTGTTTGAAATAAGATCTCCTTATCCTATCTATTTCTCAAGCAGACACAGCGAGGTATGCTGCATTGGTCATAACCTTATTTAGAATTATCTCAAGACGCATAACAGATACTCTCGTATTATTCTAGTCAAAGTGGCTGGTCGGAAGGGCTGTATATGGATCGGCGTTATCAGCGACTGTACTGAACGTACCATGAAGGCGGATGGAGTTTTACGCACACGATGATATAAGGAAGACTAATAGCAGTATAACTATACTGACGCTCCCTTCCACAGTATTAATTCCAGACTGCAAACTACAACCATTACTTTCCTTGGTGTAAACATTGAAATGATTAATTCATTTACTCATTTTTCTTCACATTTCTTTTTCTCCTTAATTGATCAAATACTTGCGAGTTTGCGCTTTTGCTGTTCGTGCCAGTGCTTTCACTGTTCAATATTTTGTTCTGTTTCTCACCGCTGAACTCTAGCCATGAGTAATATTACGGTGCCTCCTTTGGCTTTTTGTACAACGTCTGTATCGTCATGGGCAGATATACTTGTTTATTATTCTTCAGAAAGCCGAAAAAGGTGTGCATTGTTTTACATCAAACAGCTGTTCACTGTGATCCTAGCACTCTGTTCAGGCAAAACTAAACAGCCGATCATGGGTCACAACGGTTGAAAGCTGGTCGATAGCAAACTGCGCCGCAGACGGGACACAAAGAAGGAATGAATACCGGCAGATGAGGGCAGCGTGTATTTTCTCGTGCCTTCTTTGTACCCAGCCTGGTGCGCAGTTCGCCACAAGACGGTAACATTTGTTTTTATTCGAGTGTCATTGTGAAGCATGCTAACTACATCACTTTGACCTTGCCTTCACTGCAGGGTACTTTCGAGACACGCTCGGCTCCTACGATTTCTTGTTCGTGGCGTGCGGCTTGGTTGCCATAGCGACGTCACTGGCGTGGGTCTTTGTCAACTTATTCATGTGGCGAAAGCGCAGCACGTGGACTCCAGACACAGTCCTCGGAGACAAATCGGAACAGGCATCAGGCAGATTCTCCTATTACCCCCGGCTCGTCTACATTGGCGATGGTCGGTACATGGAGACGGGAAAGTCGAGGGCACCCAGCACGATAACGGCCCTCTATTGAATCTATGAACTGCGGCGATCGACTCCTGTTGACCGTGCTCTTACTGAGACAATGTTACACAATGTGTCTGCATGTGCTCGCCTCTTGCCATCAAGGACAGAAAACATTCCCGTCTCAACGTATCCTGTCGTGGTGCAGTACTGAATGATATGAAGTGCCATCGCAGTGGTAAACATCAATTCATCCAGAAGTGTCAAATATTTCATCGCTATTTCATTTTGTATGTAAAATAAAACCATTTCATCTTGTATGTATAAAATTGACATCAGTAAAATAGATATCGCTTAAAAAACATTTCAACGCAAAACGCATCTTCGTTTTTGTCAACATTTCTTACTATTTTTCAACAAAGATAATCCGGAACAATTGCAGCAACGCTTTTTTTACTACAGCTGTTATTTATTGAGGCTTTGCTAGTTGTGTGATCCTATAGCTTCTTGCAAGGTCACACCGAAGGCCTCCTTTATTTCTTTCAATGGCAGTCAGTGCGGGACGCGTGCTCCTTATAGGAGCCGTTGGTGCGCCTTACTTAACCCTCTCGGTCCTGGCGGTGTCGATTTACACCACCGCGCAACATTTCCCCCAGTATCTCGAAAACTTAACCAATACTGCTCATTCTTGGGGGCATAGTTCTTAAATAATCCCCACCGCAATTGACTTCAATATTGGGGCACGTTTGCAGAGGTAGGAGTCACAAAGAAGAAGAAGCGCGACCGAGGTATTCCGAGAAGACAACTTGCGTAAGTTGAGATGGGTAAGCGCCATTTTGGGGACGACGTACCGAAGCTGTTTCAGTGAGTATTACAAAAGTAAGAAGTTGGTTTTCAATGTGTGTACACGATTGATTGGCAGAAAAATAAGTCATTTTTTTTTTCATTTTTCAATCAATGGGCCCTATTTATCTGATTCGATGGCACATTAAATAATCCAAAAACACTTGTATCAGTGGCTCAATTTTTTGTTCGTGGTGTTCTGAGGTCTTAACTACGAGAAAAATGCGCACAAAAAGTGTATCCGACCAAAATAAAAAATCCAGGGCGGAAAAGGCTAACGTAGTGGTCATGATGCGTCACACGTGTGTCCGAGCACTTTCTTAAGGAAATACGATAGAGGTGTTGCCCTCTCCGATATCTTACGTTTAGAAAATTTGTTACTTCGTGCTTCTTCTCTGTCGCTCAAAGCAATGCCACCACTGCCTCAAAGCGCTTATAAACGAGCGGGGCCACCAAACTTTGATGTTATCCCAAGCCTGCTGTGGGTTTCCTCTGTATGCAAGGACTCTCCACACGAAGGGTCGGACACACAACAAACGCCTAAAATATATTTTTTTTTTTCACTTATAAAAGTGTAGCTGAGCGCTCAATCTCACGGTAAAGGCCAATCGCTTGCGCAGCAACATGAACGTTTCAGAATATGAGAAGCAAAGTTACTTGTCCTGACGTCTAACTCATCTCTAGTGACGTGAGTGACCTACGCCATCCCTGAAACAAGCATATTCAACCAACGCCTCCTAGATTTCATGTGCCTGTCGAATGAGTGCGAAACGCCGATCATGTATGGCGGCGCTGCCTACGTAGGAGTAAGGGTCTTTTTACTTGGCCTTTAAGATCGGCGATTTCGGCGTTTGCTACTAATTTCCCAGGATGCATTGCATTAAAAACGTTGCTTGCTGAATGACGGCGCCACTTACGTAGGGTTAACTATACAAACGTTTACGCATCTTTAAAACTTTTTTACGTTATTTTTGTTGCATGTAAGCTCCAAAAATGTAAAAACCTATTTGAAGGCACCCCTGCTTAAGTAGCGCCACCACCGCAGTTCTGACGACGGCCGCTTCCCAAGTGACCGCCGATAACCCGGCAGGCACGGGAAATCTAGGAGGCGTTGACCCAACGTACCACAAAGAATCGGTTGCTGTATTACTCGCCGATTTTCGATTGCTTCTTGGCGAAGTGCTACGCGTCGAAACCTGCGAAGGCATTCAGCGTTCTCGGTGGGTTGCCCACGTAGTGACCATGGCTGTATGCTATTGTGAGCTAGACTTCTGACCGAGCAGATTCAGTGACCCAGTGAATTTTCACAAGTTCGCCAAAGGCAAACAACAAAGGAACGCCTGGACAGACTTCGTTCTTTTCCAAATAAATGTCTATAATCTTTTTGTTGAAGAACTGTGTTGTACAATGGATGGATTCGCATGTTGTGAACGAGGAAAGAACTCGAATGCCTGCTTTTACAAGTGTGCTGGCGTCCCTTGCAGAGGCACTGTGTGCGTCCGTCAAGGACACTGGGTGCTTTCGAAGAGCCATTTAACGAGTCTTCCAGGGACAATGGAGGCGTCCGCAAAGACGCTGCGCGCATTCGACAGCATGGCTGCTCTTTCCTTCTTCAGTGTCTCAGCGCCTATAAAAGGCCGGCGCATCTAGTGTCGGGCGGCTTCCTCGTCTACGTTATGTACATACGTAGTAAATATAAACGATTTGTTTCTTTCTGGCTGCCTTTTGCCTAGCCAGTGCCTGGATGCTACAGCAGCTGGCCATGGCGAGTGTCAGCGCGTTTGTTTAGCTGGCGCTTGTATGGCACGTGTGTGAGAGAGCAGACGAAACTCAACACAATGTGCTTCACAGCCTTGTGAGGTCACGTAACCAATCCAACTATGTATCGACATCACTTCCCGACTCAGCGCCGTGAAATCGAAACCGAAAATGGTTCACATAAGTAGAGCAGTGTTAAATTATTTCGCGAAATTACAGTAATGTTGGTGCGTGTATCATGCTAAATGGATCTGAAGGAAACGTTTACAGCAAAGAGCACGAGCACGCATGCCACAAATTTGGTGGCACCACCCCTTTAATGTCAGCACATGCAGCAGGGTCGTAATGACGCTTCCTCATTGGTTGCCCGCATAGCGCCACAACCAGGGACATCCTATCTCAAAACACTGCATCTTTACACAGCCAGCGTGGCCGCAAACATTGTGATCACAATAAATACAAGACGCTGCCTCACGGATATGTACAAAACTGAACGAAAAATTATTTCATAATATTTTCGTCGTGTGGCACCACATAATTGGTTCTCTCTCCCAAGACCGCAAAGCACACGCAAAGTCTAGGCGATGGGTGAGAGGAGAAAAGGGTGGAGTGGTGAATGGAATCGGGTGCAACTGGCTGACATTGAATAAATAGAGGAGGCGCTTCCATACGTATCGTATCTACTTTTGTAACATATATCGTTACAGAGTGACTCGTTGCACAACGGCAACGTGCGCAACTCTAGATTTGGTCCAGGAGTATTAACCCAGATGGCTGAACACATCTTCAGTTTTTTTCTCTTGAGTTTAGGTAGGGTGTCTTGAACACCAAGCCGTTGCGTCATCTGTGTAAGGGCGAATATGGTGCTCGAGAGATGTGAACTCCATGGAATACCGAAGTAAAACCAATGACACAATTAAACCGGGCTGAAGCAGCGTCATAGCACTCGAGTTCTCCGCACAGTGGTGTCACAGACGGTACCTATGATTTGGTTGACTTGTACTTAAGTGTCCTCGTGCTGCCAGGACACTATGAGCAGAAAATGGGAGGAGACGCACGCCAGCAGGAGACATATTTTTTTCAACAGCATGATGGGACATCGCAGGATGGCTAACGGGATGACAAAAGAATTCATCTTGCCTCCACTGTAGTTTATTTGACGGCTCGTATACGTAGAAATATGTGTTTCATTTTGAGGCTGGTCGCACTTTGGAGTGATTCGCCTATGCGACAAGAAAAAAAATGGCAGCATATCCACGGAGTGAATGATGGAGAGTGGGGCGAAGCATCCATCCGTCCATTCGGGCTTGCTTCCGTCCGTCCATGCGTCCGTCTGTGTGACCACCCGTGCGTTCATCCACCCGTCAGCGCGTGCGTCTGTTCGTGCGTCCGCACGTCCGTCTGTGCATCCGCCCCTGCGTCGGTCCATGCGTCCATCCACCTGTGCAGCCATCTGTGCGTCCGTCCATGCATCTGTCTGTGTGTCCGTTCGCCCATCTATTCAACACCCCAAGTGCCACCATCTCGCATCTTTTGATCATGTATTCCCCATATAGAAGCACTGCCATCCGGAGGACATTCCAAGGACTAAAGGAGAGTTGGCACACGCACACTTTTTTACGGCTTGTGTTTCATGTCTACTTCCCACCTTTAGCTACCTCGAGTTCATGGTATATACTAGTTCACTGTATTCATGGCACTGCGGCTCAACGCTCGCTAAACCTTTCTAAAACCAAGGAGGTTACGCCCAGCGAGTATTACGTAGCAACCCTTTCTTGTCAGATAGTGCTCCATGTACGTGCCAATGGCTGCTAATGCGGAATGAGAGACAGAAGAATTCGGCTTTTAGGTAACGCACACGCTGCGAATTTTTTTATTGGAAGTAACGCACACGCTGCAAATTTTTATCTCCCACCGGCACCACCTTGCAAGTCAAGACGTAAGACTGGTTACACACTACGACTGCAACAACTACGAGGGACAAACGGGTGCCGCTTTAAGGAGCTGTGCCCCGAAAATACGCCATCTCCCACTAAAAGGAACCATCAGTAGCTCTCGAAGCAGCGCATGCGTTGAATTAAAAGTTCCCTTCTTCAGGGGCACTTTGCCCGATGTTAACGCGTCCTTGCAAGATGTTGCTGTTACTTGTTCCAGAATCTTGTTGTAGCATGCCATGCGGATTCATCGCCACACCATGCAGGAGCACGGGCTTCATCGCGCATCTGCAGAATCTCATTCCCCGACGCTATTACATGACTGCGGAGATCCCGTAAAGGGGAGAGGCCACGGCCAAAGCCATTTACGCTGGTTCGAACGTGCTAGCGGGTAAGCGCGTTATGGCAGTGCTTGGGTCAACTGCCACATACACCAGCTTGAACCAGTACTTCCTAGGAGAATTTTCAGAGGGTTTTGATTGAGTTCTAGCATAAGCGTCTTCGCATGTAAAAATGGAAGGGAGCATGCCAAACTTCCACAAGCCAAACCTCGTCTAAAAGCACTTGCTCTTTGCTTTTGTGCTGATTTTTCACGATGCTCCTGTTCTATGTCCTTTTTTGGTGGGCTCGTAAACCAAAACGGAAATTGACGAACGCTTGCCTCTAGCGTCCGCAAGCCAATCTCCTCAGATGTCGCCCCCCCCGCCACCTCCCCCCCCCCCGTCTAGTTACCCATACGCTGCGCTTAATTCCAAGTGTGCTTCTGCTTTATTTTGAGCGATCGGCTTCGAAAATTTCACGCGATGTTGCTTTCTACTCTGTTTTTCTCCTTGAAAACAACG